TTTAATTGGGGAGCTCCACCAAACACTGCCCACCATGGACAACCATTATTGTTCCTGTATGCTGAGCAAATAATTTGTGAATCAGTACTTTAAGAAGAAGAATGTGGCATTAGAATCAGAGGATAATGCGTTGACAACATGCTTTATGTAGGTGACTTAACATTACTTACTGAAAGTGAGGAGGACTTTAAACACTTGCTGTAGAAGATCAAGGACTACAGTCTTCATATGAATTACATCTCAACATCAAGAAAACAAAATCTTCACCACTGGGCAAATATGCGGCATCATGGCAGATGAGAAAATACTGAAGTTGTCAATGATTTCATTTTACTTGCATCCACAATCAATACCCTTTGATGATCTACAATCATCAGTCAAGAAATCAAAAGAAATGTTGCACTGGAAAATTCTGCTGTAAAGGACCTCTCCAAAGTGCTGAAGAGCAACAATGTCAGCTGAAAGTCTCAGGTACACCCGATCTAAATCTTTTTGATTAGTTGTTCCACATCTGAAAGCTGGACAGTAACTAAGAATGACAGAAGCATCAATGTCTTTAGAGGTGGTGCCTTGGAAAAAGTGCAACCAGGGTACTCCTTGGAAGCAAGGATGGTGAAGCTTTGTCTCACATATTTTGCTCATGTTGTTAGGAGGGCCCAGTCCTTGGCGAAGGACACCATGCTTGGAGAGTTGGCAAAAAAGAGGAAGGCCTTCAACAAGATAGTCATATGATGACTTTAACAAGGGGCTCAAATATATTGGGTATGGCAGGGATACCCAATCGAAAGGAATTGGAAGACACAGAAGAATTTCATGAAACAACATATGAGCAAGAGCCTATGGTGATGAAAGAAGAAGTTCAGGCTGCTTTGAAGGAAATGGCAAAAAATAAGGCTCCAGGAATAGATGGTGTGCCAATTGACATATTTCAGTTAACAGATGCTGCCCTGGACGTGCTCACCAAGTTGTGCCAAGAAATCTGGAGAAAGACCACTTGGCCAACTGACTGGAAGAGATCGATATTTGTTCCTATCCCAAAGAAAGGCGACCCAACAGAATGTGGAAACTACAGAACAATCTCACTGATTTCACATGCAAGCAAGATTTTACTGAAGATTATCCAAAACTGACTGGAACAGCACATCAACAGAGAACTACCAGAAGTCCAGGCTGGTTTCAGAAGGGGTCGTGGTACTAGAGATATTGTAGCTGATGTTAGATGGATCTTGGCTGAAAGCAGGGAATACCAGAGGAATGTCTATCTGTGTTTCATTGACTATGCAAAGGCATTTGACTGTGTAGATGATAACAAACTGTGGCTGACTCTGAGAAGAATGGGAATCCCAGAACACTTGATCATTCTAATGCGAAACTTATACTTGGACCAGGAGGCAAGGGAACACTGCATGGTTCAAAATTGGGAAGGGCGTACGACAGGGATGCATCCTATCTCCATACCTTTTCAACCTATATGCAGAACAGATTATCCGGGAGGCGGGGCTCTATGAGGAGAAATGTGGGGTCAAGATTGGTGGACGATTTATCAACAATCTGCGTTATGCGGATGACAGAACCCTGCTTGCTGAAACGGAGGAGGACCTGAAGCGCCTGCTGCAGAGTGTCAAGGACTGCAGCCTACAATATGGATTGAGGCTCAATGTCAAGAAGACAAAGATTCTCACCATTGGACCAATTGGCAGCATCAGGATGGATGGTGAAGAGATTGAGATTGTACACAGCTTTAGTTTGCTTGGCTCCATAGTCAACAGTCTTGGCACCAGCAGCCAGGAAATTAAAAGGCGCATTGCCATGGGAAAGTCTGCTGTTAGGGACCTTTCCAAAGTGCTGAAGAGCAGTGGTGTCTCTCTGGAGACTAAGGTGTGTCTGATACAGGCCATGGTCTTCGCAATCACCTGTTATGCATCAGAGAGTTGGACAATGACCAAGGAGAATAGAAGGAGAATTGATGCCTTTGAGCTGTGGTGCTGGAGAAGAGTATTGAGAATACCATGGACCGCTAGGAAAACAAACAGATTTGTCCTGGAGAGGGTTAAACCGGGTGGCTCCTTGGAGGCAAGGATTCTGAGGCTCCGTCTAACATACTTTGGACATGTTGTGAGGAGAGACCGGTCCTTAGGGAGGGACATTATGCTTGGGAGGGTGGAGGGACAGCGCAAGAGAGGAAGGCCCTCTATGAGGTGGATTGATTCAGTGACTGGGATAATTGAGATGGGAGTGTCAGAGACAGTGTGATTGGCACAGGACAGAGCGGAGTTTAGGGCTGTTGTACATAGGGTCGCTATAAGTCGCAGGCTACTCGACAGCACATAACAACAACAACAACATGGCAGGGATGACACAAGATAGGGCAAATTTCACATCTATTGTTCATTGGGTCTTTATGAGTCACAGACAACTTGTTTACACATAACAACAACAACAACATGGCAGGGATGACACAAGATAGGGCAAATTTCACATCTATTGTTCATTGGGTCTTTATGAGTCACAGACAACTTGTTTACACATAACAACAACAACAACATCTATGTACAATAGCTCTAAATCCTGCCCTATCTTGAGCTAATTTCATTGTCTCCAACACACCTACTCCCATTACACCAGTTACTGAGTTAATCCAGCTCATTCAAGGTCTTCCTATCTTGAGCTATCCCTCCACCCTTCCAAGTGTGATGTCCTTCTCCAAGGACTTGTCCCTCCTGGAAACATGTCCAAAATATTTGAGATGGAGCTTTAAAATCCTTTCCTCCAAGAAGCAGCTTGGTTTCATCCTCTCCAGGACAGATTTATTTGTTTTCTTTGCAGTCCATGATATGTTCAATATTCTTCTCTAGCACCACAACTCAAAGGCATTAATTCTCCTTCTATTACCCCTAGTACTCGTCCAGCTCTCTGATGCATAATAAGTAATTGCAAAGACTATGGCCTGGATCAGGTACACCTTAGTCTTCAGACTGATATCATTGCTCTGCAGTGCTTTGGAGGGGTCTCTAACAGCAGACTTGAGGAATCTGTCTCAAAGTCAAACTTTTTGATGCAGTGGTTATGTGTATTCCCTCCATCTTCTTTTGATATTTTCTGATCTTTCAAGAATTTTCTCACAGCATTTCTCAGTATTACAACTTGAGGCTTGAATTTGTTTTTCAGTTATTTTAGCTTGTGAATATTCAGTGAGTTGTTCCCTTCCTATTCGGCAGCTCTAGCTGCCCCCCCCCACCCCCCGCATTCTGTTACAATACTTTGTCTCCTCTAGCTGCCCTTTGAAATCTTCTTTTCATCTGTTTCACTTTGGCATCTCTTTCCTTTGTTTTGGTTCCTCAACACTCTGGAGTACTTTTCAGAATCTCTTCTAAAATCCATTTTGTTCTTTTCCTCTCCTCTGTCTTTGTAACTACCTTTTGCTCTTGTCATAAAAGATAATTTTTATGTCATCCCATAAATCACATGATCTTCTTCATGGATGAATATCTTGATTCCATCCCACAATTTACCTGGTCTTCTATTATTAGTGTTCAATGCATCAAATCTATTCTTGTGACGGTTTTTAAATACAAGTGGGACAGACTCAAGGTCATAATTTGTTCCTCTGGACTTGTTTTAATATTTTTCAGCTTCAAATTGAATTTGCACATGAGTAATTAATTGTTCGATAGTCAGCCTCTGGCCTTGTTTTGATTGCCGATATTCAGTTTCTCCGTAGACTGTTTCCACAAATGAAATAAATCTTCTATGTAGTCAAGTGAGGCTATGCTATAATTATATAGCTATGACTGTAAAGGGAGCTGTGGCTGACTAATGGATGAAGAGTTATGCTACTAACCCAGAGATAGATGATTTGAATCCACTAGCAGCTCTGTGGGAGAGAGATAGGCAACCTCCTCTCGTTTTACAGCCTCTGAAAACCCACTGAAGTGTCAGTTACACATAACAATATAGTTATGTTGTTGTGTACCATCAAGTTGCAACCGACTCATAGCTGACCCTCCAGCAGGTTTTTAGAGACAATACATCCCAAAGCAGAGCAGCAGCTGGTGGACGTGAATCACCTACCTTTGGGTTAGCAACACGACTCCTTACCACTAAGCCATGAGCGTTCCCTTAGTTATGTTTTAGCTACTGTTAGGTGTGGTGAAGTTGAATCTGAACCCATGAACAACAACACATCGGAACTCTGCCTTAGCCTGTGCCATCTTCACACTTCTGTAGCCATATAAGTATTAATAAAAATATATTTCTTATTAAAAAATATCTTATCCAGTCATCTAGTCAAGTGGTATGATTTGTACACTCCCTCCTTCATGAAGCCAGAGGGAAAGGCGGCTTTTAATTGTCAAGTTCTAGGCTCACAAACACCTGCTTTTCCCATTGAAAGCATTAGAAATCCATCACAGAGATTCGTCCTGAGTTCCCTAGATGTCCAAGAAGGCCCCCAAAGCCCATAAGTGCAATTGTTGTTGTTGTTATGTGCCATCGAGTCAAATATGTGGCAAGACTGCCTTGGCCAGAGATGTCTAACTGAAGGGAAGGCAGGTCGAAGGAGAGGTGCTGCAGAGGCGAAGAGCTGGGCGGAGGAGAGGCTGGGCGCAGCGCGGGTGGGGCACAGCGAGGGGTGGGGCAAGGGAGAGGTGTGACACAGAGGGGCGGGGCGAATGAGAGGCGTGACACAGAGGGCGGGGCAAGGGAGAGGAGTGACGCAAAGGGGCGGGGCAAGGGAGAGGCGTGACAGAGATGAGGGACGGGGAGGAGGAAAGGCGTGTTATAGGCGAAGGTTGGGACGATGGGGAGAGGCGTGGCAAACGTGAGGGGCGGGGCGAGCAGAGATGAGCCACTGTGCGAGAGGAGGGCAAGGAAGCGGGAGGCGTGGCTTGGGCAGGAAAGGCGGGGTGAAGAAAGTCAAGGTAGAGACCAACGGGGCCGGGTAGGACAGGGGCGGTGCGTACTGAGCTCCCGGATTGCCGCGCAGCCAGGTTTGGAGGAGAATGGCTGCGCTACGTAGGCTGCAGGAGGTGCCGCGGCACTTGCTGGTGTGTGAGAAGTCCAACTTTAACCACCATAAGTCACGCCACCGGCATCTTGTGGAAACACATTATCATAATTACAGGGTAAGCTGTGCTGCTAACGGAACGTCCTCCCTTTGACAGATTACAGATGACCAGCAAACTACGAGAAAGCTGGGCTCCTTTGATACGGTTAGACCACCCAGGGATCCCAGATGGAGTGGCAGGCGTGCGCGGGATGGGCGGGAAGATTTGTTGTACGGCATTCTGGGAGCTGTAGTCTCTTAACCTCTCTGAGTAGAGGAGTTATTGCTTTGAGGGAACTACAACTCCTAGCGTGTACCGGCCTTGAAGGAGGCGGAGCCGACTCTGGCAGGGAATGAAGGCCTCTCTGCCTGGGGGTTTAAGGGGTACTTGCGGACCTCTAGCAGTGAACCTTAAAGTGCAACATATGCTCAAATAGTGGTGTGAGATCAGAGTTGGAGGGTGTGACATATGCTTAGCAACCACGTGGTAGCCACGTGCTACTCGCTTTACTCATCTGAGAGGCAAGTTCTTCAGACTGTCACTCCTCTGCAGCTTGATTTCTTCACTCGCCATCCTGTCTGTGACTCTTACCAGAGCATTGTGCCTATTCAGGCCCAGGAAGCAATCTATCTTTTATGAACTGCTTTTGAGAAGTTTATTCTACCACCCTCTCTGAAGTTTCTAGTCACTTCATGGAGAAATCCCGCCGGACCTAGTGATAACATTGTTGCATCCAAAAAAACGCCCTCTTCTTGGGTCCCCTTTCCACAAATGTGGCAGTTGAGGCATCAGAAACTAATTCTTGACTTAAAAACAACCTGCCAGAAATGAGGAACAACCCAAATTTCCAAGCCATATAACCCATTCAAACGATTTTTATTATTATTGAGTGCGACCCTTATGAGCAAAAGGTCTGAACCCTGTGTTGTCATGTGTGATCCTCACATTTCCTGATACAAAAAAAGTCCATTGCAGTCACCGTGTCAATCCACCTCGTCTAGGGTCTTTTCCTTCACCTTTCCTCCACCCTTCCTAGCATCATGTCCCTCACCAAGGAATAGCCGCTCCTAGCAACATGCCCAAAGAATGTGAGGCGAAGCCTCTTCATTCTTGCTTCCAAAGAGCACTGTGACTGCACCTTCTCCAAGACATAACTGTTTGTTCTATTTTATTTGTTCTTCATGGGATGTTCAGTGCTCTTCTTCAGCACCACAGCTTAAACTATTATGACCCCAAAAACTCAGTTTATGGGTTATAAGGAATTAAGCATATTGTACTTTTAAATTTAATCATTTAACCACAATCTGAGGTGCTCTGTAGGAAGGCATAGTGCAAGTAATTGCCGTCATATTTGAGCTGACGTTTATCAGACCTTCCATTGGTATTGCAGTGCAGTGTGACATAAGTCTGTCGGGAGTTGTGCCACTAACCCAAAGGCCACGCCTACTTTATGGCTTGAAGCCAAAGGGGTTCAGTGGAACAAAGATGAGCAGTAACTTCCCTGGGTGATTTACAGCCTCAAAAACCCAATGGAGGGTCAGCTATGGGTAGCTTCAACTCTGCAACAAAGAGTTGAGCTGTTGGCATAGCGAGTTTTGGCTTGGGCTGCTGATAAGTCAGTAGTTTGAATCCACCAGCATCTCTGCAAGAAAGATAATACAGCCTATTCCCTTTAAGATGGAAACCATGGAGCTCAAAGGTCAGTCTTGAGACTGATCAGTCAGAAGAGATTCCAGAGAGTGGGTTTGGTTTTAATTTTTTAATCACAATTTAAGTCTGACTGGCTAGTTTCTCAGAGACACCTCTGGTTTGGTTTTTGTCTCTCCGTCTCCCTTCTCCTCCTCCAATTCTATGTCAAATAAACCTTTGGAGTACCTTTCATGGCTTTATCTCTATGAACCTAGATGTTAATCTACTTGAAAATAAATCCTTGTTTGTATTACACATTCCAATAGGTTTCATTTCTGATTCCTGAATGTGGGATACTATCAAAAGAGCTTAAAAGCCTTGTTATGGAAACTGGACCTTTTTACTCTGTGAAGAATTTACCTCTTCATGAATTCATTTCGCCCGAATTCCTCAGCACCTTTGTAAGAAAAGGTAAGGACAACTATGACATTCATGAATGTGGGGAGATGGGGAAATATTGGTTGTTGTCCACGGTATTCGAGTTCTTCTCCTGTATTCATTAGGCTGTGGTGATAGTCATCATGGCCAAGTGCATGCACCTAACCCCAGTCTTCTCATCCCACTCTTCTCCTGAAAGGCTGGTTTCTGATTATACTTTCTGCAGTGTTGTACAAGGATGAAGATATCAGTCATGGAATGGAAGAAGGATTAATGGAGAGGAGAGTCTAGTAGTCTGTGTGTTCAGGTCACTGCAGTCCTATGTATAATTGCAGAGACCACTGTGTCTTGAGCAATTTCAAAGGGTGTTCTCCTCTGGTCACCACAGCTGCTGTTCACAGAGCCAGGTTTTGGTTGTAAATCAGTTACTTAGATTTTGTGGTTCTAGTCCTCCTTTCTTCACCCAGTTCCCAGTGTATCTGCTGGGTTCATTTGTTTGATGAACATGTTTCCTAGGGACCCTGTTATTTGTTTGATACTGCATTGCAGAGTGTCTGTAGGGAATCCCCATGTGGCGCAAATGGCTGCCAATCAAAAGGCTGAGGATTTGCGTGCATGTTAGGCATTGTGGAAGAAACGCCTGGCAGTCTACTTCTGAATGGTCAGCCACTTAAAACCCCATGGAGCACAGTTCTCCTTTGACACATGTGGGCTCACCAGGAGTAGGAATTGATAACAACACTTAAGTCCCTAGGTGAGCTCCTTATTGTCAGCCCCACGTATTTCTGGTAGCTGCTTTCATTTTGACATTGCTGAGAAGTAGGGCATTTCATAGATATCATTCTTTCAACTGTGTTAGACCTTAATATTATTTTGTTAATGATGTGGATATTTAGATACATGGGCACTCTCACATATCTGATCTAACCCTTGTTTTTTGTTGTTTTGTGCCATTAAGTCCCTTGCAACTTAATGAGAGACCCTATGTACAACAGCTCTGAACCCTGCTCTATCTTGAGCCGACCTTATTGTCTCTGATACACCCACCCCCATTTACCCCAGTCACTGAATCAATCCATCTCTACTGAGGGTCTTCCTCCCTTGCAGTGTCCCTCCATTCTCCCAAGCATGATGTCCTGCTCTAAGGAAAGCATGATGTCCCTCTCCAAGAACTGGTCCCTCCTTGCAATATGTACAAAGTATCAGACAAAGTTTCAGAATTCTTGCCTCGAAGGAGCAGCCTGGTTTCCCTGGTTTCCCCATCTCGAGGACATACCTGTTTGTTCTCCTGGCAGTCCATGGTATATTCATCACTCTTCTTCAGCACCACAGCTCAAAGGCATCAATTCTCTTTCTATCATCCCTAGTTATTGTCCAGCTTTCTGATGCATAGCAAGTAATTGTGAAGATTATGGAATATGGCAGGCACACCTTAGTCTCCAGACTGACATTATTGCTCTTCAGTACTTTGGAGAGGTCTCGAACATCAGACCTGAGGAATCAGCCTCAAAGTCATCTTTTAATAACAACAACAAAAAAGTTAGATCTTTCTTTTGATTTATTATTTATTATCTATTGTTTAGAAGATATAAAGCAGAACATAGACCAATTCAACAGTTTCTCCATGTACAATTCAATGGCGTTGCCTGATTCAAGCCACAGTCTTTTCAGTCACCTTCTATGCATCTGAGATCAGGACAGAGACTAAAGATGACAGAAGAAGAATTGAGGCCATTAAGCTGGGGTGTTGGAGAAGAATACTGAATATCCCATGGCCTGCCAAAAGAACAGATATGTTTTGGAATAAGCATAGACAGAGTGATCCTTGGAGGCAAAGATGGCGAAGCTTTGTCTCTCAGTCTTGAGGCATGTTGCTTGAAGAGGCTATTCCTTGGAGAGGGACATGGTACTTGGAAAGGTGAAGGGTCAGCAAAGGAGGAAGACCCTTAATGAGATGGATTGACCCAGTGACTGTAGCAATACAAGTCAATACAAACGAACGTGACAGAGATGATGAGGATGGGACAGTATAGACAGAGTTCAGATCTGTTGTTCGTAGGGTTACTATGAGTCATACTTAATAACACAGCAACAGCAACAGTGGGAGTGAAATAGTATCTCATTGTTTTGATTTCTGTCTCTCTGACAGCTAATGATATTGAGCATCTTTCCATATGTTTGTTTGGTGTTTATTTTAATATTCTCTTTGATGGAATACTTGTTCAAACCCTTTCCCCATTCTATAATTGAGTTGTTTCTTTCTTGTTACATTGAGGAAGTTTTGTGTATATTTTGGTTATTCACCTATATAGTTTCCTAAGCTATTCCTTCAATTAGTAGTTTGTCTTTTCATCTTTATGTTTGTTTTACAGTTTTATTCCCTTTGTTATGCAAGTACTTAGGGGGAAAAATGTTAAATACCGGTAAAAAAAAATTCTCTTATAAACTCAACGCTAGTGATAATCCATGTAAGCATTTACTGCAGGTTTGTTGGGTTTTTGTTTTTGTTTTTGTTTTTGGGTTTTTCTTTTTTTACTTTTTGGTGAAGACTGATGAATAAACATTTCAGATTCTTATGAGGTTTCATTTTATTTTCTTTGTTGTTTACAGTTTGGTTTTTGTTATTAGATAATAGATTGTTAAAAGTTAAACCTAACAACTGAAGTATGAATCCTGATTCATTGTTTTGTATGTAGAAATTTACGTTTTCTAACACCATTTATTGAACTCTTAGAGATGTATATATAAATTGATTTGTGGACTCTCTGTTCTATCCCATTGGTCTGTGTGTCCATTATTAAACCAGCACCAGGCTGTTTTGATTACTATAGCTGTATAGCATATAATCGGGATGGGAGTGTCAGAGACAGTGCGATTGGCACAGGACAGAGCAGAGTTTAGGGCTGTTGTACATAGGGTCGCTATGAGTCACAAGCGACTCAACGGCACATAACATAACATAGCATATAATAGAAATCGTAAAATTTGAATCTTCCTACTTTCCTTTTCCCCCCTATTTTTCAAAGTTGCTTTATATATTCAGGTCCTTTTCCATCCTATATAAAGTTGAGGATTAGTGTTTTCATTCTATAAAGACGGCTGTGAGAGTTTTGAGCTCATTGACTGTGTAATACTTTGAGTACTATTGACATCTTTACACTATCTATGGACGTGAATCAGCTTTCCATTTAGTTTAAACCTTTTTATCTCTGTCAGGGAGCTCTGATGGCCTAGTGATAAGGCGGTGTGCTGCCAATCCAGTTTGAATCCAACCCAGTTTGGCAGGCAGTTTGAATCCACTCAGTAGGAGAAAGATGCATAGTCTTCTCCTGTGTGATTTCTAGCCTTTGAAAACCTGTTGGAGGATCAGCTGGGAGTTGGTTCGGACTTCTTAGCAATGAGTTGAGTTTTATCTCTGTCAGCAGTCTTTTATAGTTCCGTTGAATAATTTATAATTTCCATTGTATAAGGCTTTCTTATCTAGTTAAATTTATTTCTAGATATTTTCTTAAGTGCTATTCTGAGTAGAATTGTTATCCTAATTTTCCTTTCCAATTTCTCATTGCTGGTTTACAGAACCTTAGCTTGTTTTTGTTTATTGACCTTGTCAATAAGAATCCTGCTAAAATCTTCTATTAGCTCTAGAAGAATTCTTGTGAATTCTTAAGTGTTTTCTGTATAAAGAATTGTGTCCTCCATGAATAGAGATAATTTTACTTCTTTTCTTCTGATTTGTTGTTGTTGTGTACCATAGATTCGGAACTGACCAATAGTTGTCTCTCTGGTGGGTTTTCCGAGTCAGTAAGTCACACAGGAGGAAACTGCCCATCCTTCTGTGGAGCAGCTAGTGGCCTCAAACCACATGTCTTCAGGATTGTAGCACAGGCTCTTGCCACGAAGCCACCGGAGCTCTTTTGATTGGATACCCTTTCTTTTCTCATTGCTTGGACTAGGCTGGAACTTGTAATGAAGTATTGAATAGAAATGGTCAGAACTGCCATCTTTGTCTTATTCTTAATTTTCTTATTGAAAATTTTCATCAATAAAGAGATAATGGGTTTTATCAAATAATTTTTCTGTATCCATGGAAATGATCATGTGGTTCTTTTTCCTTGTTCCAGCTATGTGATGTATTGTGTTAATTTATTTACCATTGTTTGCTTTCCTGGAATGAATCTTACTTGGTCACTCTGTGTGACTCTTTCAGTATGCTATTAGATTCTCTTTGCTAGTATTCCATTCATGATTTATGCACCTGTTTCCATAAAGAATACTGTCTTGCTGTTTTCTTTTCTTATGGTATATTTGTCTAGTTTTGATGTTAGGTCTATTATTTCCTTTATGGAACTAATTTGATGGTATTAATTACAAGTATGAGTTACAAACAGGATGTTAAATTGTACATGCTCTAGTCTTCGGGTGATAGTATTCAATACATAAAATCTATTTTGAGGTAGTTTTTTAATTCTGGTAAGATATATGTTGGCATTTGGGGACTTGCTTCAATTTTCTTCAGCTTCAGTTTGAACTTGCGTTTGAGCAACTGATCATGTGTTCCATAGTTGACCCCTGACCCTATTCTGAGTTTTTCTGCAATCTCTTTCTCATGTCTTAGTAGTAAAGAGTTGAACTGCCAATCCAAAGGCACACAGTTCAAATCCACCAGCTGCTCCATGGAGGAAAGATGGGCACTTTCCTCCTATGTGATTTACTGCCTCTGAAAACCTACTGTGGGTCAACTATAAGTCAGTTCCAACTTGGCAGTACCTAACAACTTTCCTTCCATAGATATTCGATTCCTCTCTATTCCTTCCTGTGAGGTCCATATGTATAGTTGCTGTTTATAATTTTTTTCAGAGAAGATCTGTGTATTGAAAAAATTGATTGTAAAAAGTCCATCATATAATCTATAGCCTCATTTCCATCACCAAGGCGATATTTTCCAATTAAGCAGTCCTACTTCTTTTCCCAGCTTTTAAATTCCAGTTGCCAATTATTGTTGACATCTCTTGATTGTAGGGTTAATCTGTTTCAGACTGCAGAAGTTGATAGAAATCCTCATTTTCTTTATCTTTGGCTTTAGTGGTTGGTTTGAGTAATAGTTCTATCAGCAGATCTTCCTTGTAAGGGCACGGATGTTTTTCTATCACTGACAGCATTGTACTTACAGAGAGATCTTAAAATAGCACCATTCCTCTTCAATGTGTCGTTTCTATTACAGTCAGTCATGTAATTGTCTAGTTCAAATGTCCAGAATGGCTATCTTTATGCATTCAGTTTCCATTTTTTTATTAGTCAAATTTTTTATCATTGATTTTTATATTTGTTTCTTTCCTTTAAATGGAAGGTTTCTGGATGGCCCTGACTCAAGCGGGCATAACCAGGGGACAAGGGGATGGGAACCAGCCAGTGTGGGGTGGCGTCATCTCCATAACATACCATTTATGCACAGAACTAAACAGATAAGCACCGAGTCACTATTGCGGTTAGAAATTGGCAGCATGGAAAGGGAAAGGAACAGTGGGGCTGTCATTAAAAACATAAAGGTACCCCTTGAACTGAGGTGCCTGGGGAAGTTGGTCTGTTTCAACCTAAGAGGAATCTCAAGGTCAAAAGTGATTTGGGATGGCCAGAACCATCAGGGGTAGAGGGAAGAGGAAGGTCGCGGGGAAGTGGGAGCTGTTTGGCAACTGGGGTGAAGGGATTGCCCTCCCCCTCCTGGGATCCCCCAACCTCTCTGATCTGGCAGGAAGCGGACAGCCTGCAGCCCCCATGGGCAGATCTGAGGCTGCCAGATGTTCCAGGCAGGGAGCTGGAAGGGGCTCAGAAGGGCTTGCCCTCCAGGGAGATGACAGAACTGTCCCCCCGTTTCTTTGCCAAGGTGCAGAGGTCCTTGACTTCCTTATCACTTTGCTTGTAATTTATGCTTGAACCCTGTCAGCTTCTTCTCGATGGCATCCTTGGATCATTATGCTCTTAAGGGGTATATATTCAAGGGCCCCAAAGATAAACATCAGGTCCTCCTTCTTGCTCTCCTTGGCCTCATAGGTTGCATCATACAAGGCATAGCGACGGTCTTTGTCCAGCAGCATCTTGACAAAGGTGGCATAGGGGTTGTTGACATTCTGGCCCACATCTCCAACCAGAATCTCCTTGCCCTGCTCCAGGATGATGATGATCTTGTCCTTGCTCAGGCAGAAGAGCACCACCTTCTTGCCCTTCTTCACCTCCTATGATGTCGATGATTTGCACACCTGCACCTTGATGACACAATCAGAAACAGTCACACCAGAGGCCATGTTTCCAGAAGCAAAAGGAATATGGCAAAGAGAGTGAGAGAAGACAAAAGTGGCTGCAGCTGCTGCCTGGATCTGACTAACCTGTTTCACTTTTTACAAGTTTCAGTTTTCCTAGATTCATACGTTCCGTGTTTGAATTATTAATAGATGTTTGCAGCTCTTTCTCCTCATTTTTAGTCTTGCCGTAACAGCAAATGACTGTTCTTTGAGATGGCAGCTCCTCCCCAGTCAAATTTTGAGTGCCTTTCAACCTGAGGGACTTATTGACCAGCACTATATCTGTCAGTGTTCTACTGCTGTTCATAAGGCTTTGAGGAACCCTCATGGCAGTCTATGATGTTGCACTGCTAACCCAACTGCTCTGTCTCTCTGATCTACTACAACTCTGAGAGCAGGCTCCTCCTGTGTGATTTACTAGTCAGTTCTTACTCAACAACAATGAGCTTTTTAGTTTGGATTCTTTAAGAAGTATATGGTCATTTCCATTTCTTAATCTGGAAGCTCTACTGAAACTTATCCACCATAGGTTGCCCTGCTAGTGCTTGAAATTCCAATGGTTCTAGCATCAAGGAAACATGCAAGTCACAACAGTGCAGCACACTGACAGGTGGTAGGCCCAGATAGTGAAAGAAGCAATTTTCAACCATGTATGACTTGTTGATTTCTAAACTTCCTCTGCTGACTTTTTCTTGATTAAGAGTTTTTTAGGGCTGAGTGTCATTTCCTACTTGTATTTGTGGCAAAGGATCACCTGATTTGTTTTTGCCAAAATCTCCCTAGAATCAGCTCTTGAGTAGTTCTTCCTAACTTTATGAATGTTCTGGTAAGTCCCTCCCCCCATATCGGGTTTCTTTCTGTTGATATTCTGGTGGATTTTGAACCTTAACCTAGAGCTCTGCTTTAAGTTTCTACTTCTCCCTAATGTCTACATCTACTTTGTGTCTCTCTACCAGCATCTCCAAATACGTAGCCATTCTATTCTGGTCTATTTTCTTCTTGGAGATAATTTGCACAAATAAGACTGTGGTAGAAGGTGAATAGCTGGGACTTGGCCTTCCTTAACTGATTTTAGATTTAATAAGTGAGCCAGAGCAGTGACAGATATTGACCCCAAGGAGGTTTATGTTCATGTGAAAATCCACAGAATTTGTATAGTTGTGATTTATTCTTTATTACAGTTGCAGGTTGTAATTTCCTCTCTGTTTTTGTCTTACAGGTGCGTGCTATGCACTGACATACAATACAAATATTGATGAAGATAATACTGTTGCTCTACTACCCAACGGTAACAACATTCACTTTTTTTTGTATTTAATTATAAAACAAATACATGTTGTAACAAAAAACAAACACACAACTAGTCATTCAGATGTCAGTAAAGTGAAATTTCCATTTTGCTCCTTTTATGTAAAGCAGTTCACCTTCTTGGAAGTTAACTATTGAACCGATTGGTATTTGTTCTACTAGACATTTTTTTAATATTTGTGGTTTTTTTAAACTAATTACATTTTATTGCATTGTTTTGCAATTAGCTTTCCTCCTCCCAAACTATTTATCATAGATATCATTCTATATCAATGCACATACAGTATCTCATAATTTCTTTAACTGTTTCTTATTTCTAATTTTACTATTCTAGAAAATACTGCAATGAAGTCCTGTATGTAATTTATTATACTAACGTCTGACTGTTTAATTTTCCTTAGCTTACTACATTTGGTATGCTTGTTCATTTTACAGTAAAATTCCATTAAGTACACAAGCCCTCACTCAGCTTATATTTAATAGGATTTATGATGGAAGAAAATTGATTTTCAAACAATTTCTTAGGTTCTTAGGCATATCTCTTGCCTATAGGATTATAGACAGCTCATAAAGTTTTACTATGTGCTTTACTGGAGTTAGGAAAAATTGAATACCATCAAGGCAACACATATAAAAGAGAACAAGAAATGTTATGTTTTTAATTGAAAATTCAGTTAATCTTGGAGTTTGAGAAAACCATATTTTCTTGTGACATATCATTTCCCTACCATCAAGCCATTGCTTTGTCTCATTTAGGGAAAAAGTAAAATAATATAATGGTCCCATTCCAAAGAAAGGTGACCCGGCAAAGTGCAGAAATTATTAAACAATATCGTTGATAGCATATGCAAGCAAGATTCTGCTGAAGATTATCCAAAAATGACTGGAACAGCATATCAACAGAGAGCTGTCATAAGTACAGGCTGGGTACTAGGGATATTATACCTAATGTTAGATGGATCTTGACTGAAAGCAAAGAGTACCAGTGGAATGTCTGTGTTTTATTGCCTATGCAAAGGTGTTTGACTGTGTAGATCACAACAAACTGTGGCTGACTCTGGTAAGAATGGGAATTCCAGAACACTTGATTGTGCTTATGCAAAGCCTATACTTGGACCAGGAGACAGTCGTCAGAACTGAGCAAATGAACACTACATGGTTAAAAATTACCAAGAGTGTACACCTGGGATGTGTCCTATCTTCATACGTTTTCAATCTATATGCAGAACAGATTAACCGGGAAGCTGTGCTTATGAGGAGAAATGTGGCATCAGGATTGATGCAAGATTCATCAACAACCTGCGTTATGCAGATGACACAACCCTGCTTGCTGTAACTGAGGAGGACCTGAAGTGTTTGCTTCAGAAGGTCTAGGACTGCAGCCTTCAATATAGATTGAAGCTCAACATCAAGAAAACAAAGATTCCTGCTGGAGAAGGAGGGGGCAATCTCCTCCTGTACCAGTCAGATCTGATTTGACAGTACACATAAAAATAATACAATAAAAAAAATTTTTAAAAAAAGAAAACAAAGATTCTTAGGGAGCTTTGGTGGCCTAGGGGCAAGAAGCTGCACTGCAATACCAGAGTTATGGGGTTCGAATCCACCAGATACTCTGCTGGAGAAGGAGGGGCAATCTCCTCCTATACCAGTCATATCTGATATGATGGTACACACACACACAAAATAATAAAATTTTTTAAAAAGAAAAGAAAACAAAGATTTTCACCACTGGGCTGATTGGCAGCATCATGATAGCTAGTGAAGAGATTGAAATTGTTAACAGTTTTAGTTTACTTGGCTCCACAGTCAACACTCTTGGTACCAGCAGCAAGAAAACTAAAAGATGAATGAAAATGGAAAAGTATGCTATCAGAGACCTCTCCAAAGTACTGAAGAGCAACGATGCCAGTCTGGAAACTAAGATGAACCTGATCCAGGCCATAGTCTTTGCAATTACTTGCTTGACATCAGAAAGCTGGACAATGACTAGGGATGAAAGAATTGACACCTTTGAGTTGTGGTGCTGGAGAAGAGTATTTAATATACCACGGATTTCTAGGAGAACAAACAGGTTCGTCTGAGAGAAGGTGAGAAAGACCAGGCTGCTCTTTGAAGGCGAAGACTCTGAAGCTTCATCGAACATACTTTGGGCATGTTGCAAGACGGAACTAGTGCTTGGAGAGGGATGTCATGCTTGGGAGGGTGGAGGGACAGTGCAAAAGAGGAAGACCCTTCATAAGATGGATTGATTCAGTGACTGTGGTAAAGAGGATAGATGTGTCAGAGACAATAAGATTGGTACAGGATGGAGCAGGGTTTAGGGCTGTTGTACATAGGGTCACTATGAGTTGAAGGCGACTTGACAGTACGTAACACCACCACCACAATAGGCTTAAAAAAAACCAAAACGGGTTCGGAGCTGCTGTACATAGGGTAGCTATAACATTGCAAGCGACTCAATGGCATATAAAAACAATGACATACTATGACAGGTTTGGAAGCAGGAGTGGCATCTACTTCTTAAATAACATGCCTCTGGAAACTGTGAACTTTGATAAATGTTGATAGTTGTAGAGAGGCTTTAGGCCTTTTGTTTATATTGTCACTATAAGTTGTGCTCAACTTGAAGGCAGTCAGCAACAACAACAACATATATACTATATGTTATAGCTTAGTATATAACAAAAAGCAGTGTGCTTATGAGAAAATGTTAAGAAAATTTTTTAATATCATTTAAAGTATATTGTAACAACTTGTTTATTTAATAAATGTTAATATTTAGAAGGACTTAGAGTGATTTTTGTATTTTTTTACTATCTTATGTAATTTATTTTGAGGATCCTCGTAATTAAGAAGACCGACTTGATGCAAAAAGCACATTGATCTGTATTCTTCATTTTTCATAATTACTGTGTTAATGTAACTTTAAAATGGCTTGATCCAAGTCTTCTCTGTCAGATAACTTAGTTGCTTTATTAAATTACAAGGGAATAACTGAGACTATATGCAATTATAAAGAAAATATTCATAATAATGAGAAGATAGGAAGACAGAAGATCCCTAAAGCAAGACTTTTCTGAAATAATATGTTGCTTTTTAAAATAGTTTTGTCTTGGGTTGTTCTAAAACAAGATGTATGTAAGTTCTCCTTGCCTCAAACAAAGCTACAGTTAAAAAAAATACCCTTGCTTTCTTTTAGTCAGAAGATCTGATCTGTTCATATTTTAAAATCTCATTTATGTGAATGATTTGATTTATAGGTAAATTAGTTTTATCACTGGATAAAGACACTTATGAAGAGACTGGACTTCAAGGTCATCCATCTCAATATTCTGGCAGAAAAATTATGAAATTTAGTAAGTATCAGGCTTGTTCCACCAGATTCTAACAAGTCATTAATCTTTCTGCAGCAGTTTATGTTAAATGCCCAAATTACTTGTACTCCCTTTGTTCAGAAAAGGTTTGGCTTTTTCTTCTCTTTAAAGCTTTTGACTAGGGGCTTCAGAGGAGTTAAAATACTGCTTTTGTGTTTCTTTTTCTTTAGCTGTAGGCGGCGTCTTATAAAGATGACAGGATGGGACATGGTCCACTACATGTATGTGTTTAGAGTAAAATATTTAAAGTCATAAACACATCAATCCACATATTATTATTAATGCTTTTATTTATTTCCTCAAGATTTGATGATTACAAGTAGAAATTGGATGGAATTGTGGATGAATTTTCTCTCTAAAAAATTTCTAGTAAAATGGAGAGATTTGACAATCTCTGACAATGTCTGGCTTGCACATCAGTAATTAAGACTACTATCCCATCCTACTGTATTTATGCTGGTCTCCTGAGGAGCTCAGCCCTTAGTCTTTGACCTCAGGGAAAATATTAATTAAAAACATCTGTTGTCTCTAGTGCTTGGTTTTAGAAATGTCCATTAAAAGGAGAGTTTGATTTGGTAAACCAGAGGAAGTGTAAGAGGAACAAAATAGTTTTTATTGTCCATAAGATTTTAACATTTTATATTTTTTAATATACTTTCTTAACAGTGGGGATTATATATATATGAATATTTGTGCTGCTTTTCTTTTTTTAAAGTTGTTTCCATTGACTTGATGGATTTTTCCCTTAACCCGGATTCCAAGAGCTATAAAAGAACATGTTGGTCCTTGAAAGAAAAGAAACCATTGAAATTTGATTTTCTTTTGGCCTGGCATTCAGCAGGTATGAAGAGTACATATTATCATATCTGATTGCTAATTAAGGGGATTATTGCAAGATTGTTGTCCATGGGAGGTACAAGGATTTAAGTAAGCACTGGGCTGCTGATTGAAAAGTGAGTGCTTTGAGGCCATCCAGAGGTACCTCCAAGAAAGGCCTGAGAATCTGCATCCAAAATGCCAGGCATTGAATACTCTGTGGAGCATGGTTCTGATTTGTCACGTGTAGGGTGCTGTGAACCAGAATCACCTCCCTGGCAACCAGATTGAGTGATGATTCATATCTATAGTTAGAAGAAACTTCACTGCTGTCAATTTGGTTCTGACCCCTGGTGACCCTACATCAGGCTTCCCCACCTGAAAATCCTAACAGGAAACTGCCCATCCTTTTCCCATGTGGATTCCAACTGCCAGAGGTGTAGCTTTCAAGTTAGCATAAGTTGCTATAGACTGCACCACCGGAGCTCCCCGTCCCTAGAGTTAAGGAAATTATATATATACATATCTTTGCTGTAAGTACTGTCACATTGGAACTGACTCATAGCTGACCCTCCAGCAGATTTTCAGAGGCTGTAAAATCACACAGGAAGAGATTGCTCATCTTTCTCCTGTAAAGCAGCTGGTAGATTAGAACCCTTTGCCTTTGGGTTGGCAGCACAACTCTTTACCACTAAGCCACCAGGGTTCCATAATTTGTAAAACATTAAAGTTTGAATAGATGTTTAATATGAGCAGAGTTAATCTGCTGACAACTACCTGCTTCTGCTTTGCTCCTTTTAGAAGTATATTTTTGGCCCATTAAAGATTATAATGACTCAAGTCATCAGGAATGGTGGATAGCATAGTACTCCTTTTCAGACAGTGTGGGAAAACATATAGGTCCATTTTGGAAATGTGCCTGCCTGTCTATCTGCTGCACCAGGAAGGGGCAGATCACTGGGTACTCTGGGTTCCTTTCACAGGTCCTAGGTCTGCAACACCAGGTTCTCCTACATTTATTGCTCTAGCTCTCCTTCTCTCCCTCCCTCCCTTCCTCTTTTCTCTCTCTCTCAGAACTGACTCATAGTTGACCCTTCACTGGATTTTCAAGGCTGTAAATCTCAAGGGAGGAAATTGCTTCTGGAGAGCTTTCTGCTTTTCACTTGTCAAGAACGGTGAGAAGTCTGAGGTTTTAACATTCATTCAAGCTGAGAAGCAAGCTACCCACAGTTTTATTATGGCTACTGTTGTTAGGTGCCATCAAGTCAACTATGACTCGTAGTGATCCTGTGTTCAATAGCTCTGATCCCTGCTCTATCTTGAGCCAATCTTACTGTCTCTGACACAGTTGCCCCCTTTGCCACAGTCACTGTGTCAATCCATCTCATCGAAGGTCTTCCTCTCCTGTACTGACCCTTCCAAGTATGATGCCCATCTCCAGGGATTGGTCCTTCTTGGCAGCATGCCAAAAGTATATGAGACAGAGTTTCAGAATCCTTGCCTTTAAGGAAAAACCTGGCTTCACCCTATCCAGGATAGACCTATTTGTTCTCTTGACAGTCCATGATAAGTTCAATACTCTCCTCTAGCACAACTCAAAGGCATCAATTCTTCTTTTGTCATCTTTAGTCATTGTCCTGCTCTCAGATGCATAGCAAGCAATTGAGAAGACTGTGGCCTGGATCAGGCTCATCTTAGTCTCTAGACTGACATCATTGCTTTTTAAGACTCTTGAGAGGTCCTTGACAGCAAACTTTCCTAATGCAACTCATTTTTTCATTATCTGCCCTATTGGTCAAGTAGTGAGAATCTTTATTTTCTTGATGTTGAGGTATTGAAGACTTCACTCCTTGACCTTTTGCAGCAAACGTTTCAAGTCCTCCTCAGATTTGGCAAGCAAGGTTGTATTGACTGCATATCACAGGTTGTTAATGAGTCTTCCTCCAATCCTGATGCCACATTCTTCTGTTCCACATATAGATTGAAAAGGACACATTGCTGACACTCTCTTTTCTTGATTTTGAACCATGCAGTATTTCCTTGCTCTGTATGACAGCTTTCTGGTCTAAGTATAGGTTTTGCATGAGCACGATCAAGTGTTCTGGGATTCCCATTCTTCTCAGTGATAGCCACAAATTTGTGATCCACACAGTCAAATGCCTTTGTCTAGTCAATAAAACACAATTAGCATTTTTCTGGTACTCTCTGCTTTCAGTCAAGATCCATCTGACATTGGCAGTGATGTCCTTCATGCCATGGCCTCTTCTAAATCTAGCTTGTATTTCTGGTAGTTCTCTATCCATGTACTTTTCTAGTCATTTTTTGAAACTCTTCAGCAAGATTTTGCTTGGATATTAGTGATGTTGTTTGATAATTTTCCCACCTTGTTGGATTGCCTTTTTTGGAAGTGGAAAAAATGTGTATCTTTTCCAGTCAATTGGTCGGGTTCCTTGTCAGAGAAAAAGTGCTTTATTGTTCAGAGTGTTTCCTTGTGTTTGTCTGAGTCTCATACCCCCCAAGGTGCTGTGAAGAAGGCCATCTACAACCTCTCATGCAGAAGGCTGTGTTTTGGTCGGGGATCTTGGAGCTTAAGGAACCCAGACCTTTTATAATGGGCAGTAAGGTTGTTGGACTTCTGTGCCAGAAAGAGTGGGAGAAACCCTTTTGTTTTCTGGATAGTAAAGGAATCCTATTCTCTACTCTAGAGAGAGCCAATATTTTCTCTTCCAAGGCTGTTGGTTTTGTGAACATCTTTTAAAACAGGAAGACATTTGAATGTTACTAGATTTTAAAAGTCTTGAGTGAAATTATGTCATTATTCTGGTATGCTTCCCTTCTAATAATACTCAAACTCATTGCCATCAAGTCAGAACAGACTCATAGCTGATTCTCCAGTGGGTTTTCTTGCCTCATTTGCCTGAGCTCCATGTCTGTGTGAATACAGATTATTCAGATAGACTTTTATTGTGGAAGTCATGATGTTATTAGTATAGGAGGAATGATTTTAACTTTATTAAATTGAATTGTTTTATATTAGAACAAATGATGAAAATACCGCGATCTCTGAGTCTCTTTTCTGAGAAAATTCTCAAAGAAGACGAATGTTTATAGAATTTTGGCACAGGTTGCAAAAAACCAACTTCAATTATTTTAATCTGAATACAGCTTTGTAAAACTTCCTTCTCTCTTACTTAAATTAATCTGGTCTGCATTCCATTTTTTTTTTTTTCTTTCCAAACTGAGTCTTCCTGTCCATTAACATGGGATAGTCTTCCATATTTTTAAAGTCTTTCTTTTGTTTCTTTTGATAGTTTTTCCCCCCTATAATATTCTTTATGTAGGTTTTTTTGTATTCTATAAATCTTATATGGGAGTAGGGTAGTTGCAGGGATTTGCTGGGTTTATTTAAGATATTTAAATAACCATAAATGATGTATTTCAAGGTGCAGAAGAATCAACGATGATGTCATATTTTTCTAGTTACCAAATTAAAGAGCACCAGCCTTGCGTAGCCCAGAGTGTGCTGGCAGATCTGCAGTGCCCAGTGCTTCACAGCCACACACTCCAGGGCCAGCCCGAGGTGGCCTGCAGCTCCCAGGAGCTCTTCGACTGGCTGGGAGCCGTCTTCAGTCACGTCAACCTGTGCGTATCTGGTTTTGGTGGGACCTTCTGTCGGTCTGGCTTTTATTTCCTGTTTTCAATTTCATGTTGAATGTAATTATGTGGTGGATACAAATATGTGTTCTTTTTTTTTGTGACAGGAGTAATGAGTCTAATAATTTTGTATCAACCTATTGCTGTCCTCAGCCAAATGCATTGGTGACAAAAGCTTATTTATGTACAATCACTGGTTTCCTACTTCCAGAGAAAATCACTGTCTTACTGGAACAGCTGTGGTGAGAGTCTTTTGCCTTTTCTGTCTTGGTTTTTTGTGCCAACAGGACATTTTAGTGACAGTGTCATGCTTCATATTGCAGAGTCTCCTCAGGCCTATTTCCCCTCTTTTCCTTGCTTGTTTTCAAAGTATAATAACTTCACAATAAGTAGCATTTACCCTTACTGATAGGAAATTGCATTCCTCAGCCTTTGTGTGAAAATAAAAAGAGAAAATAAAATATACTT